ACTATTTAACACTGAAAAACCCAGAATGCTTTCAATAAAACAGCACAATAGTAAATAGAAAAACAACAAAAAAAGGAAGTATCATAAAGTTGACTGGAAAATAAACACATTGCAAGAATGCTCCATCTTGACAATAAAGGGATGGGGAATCTTCTCTGGGACTTAGCCTGAACACTGTTCAGTCTTCCATACTAAAAGTTCATCCATCCTCTCTTTCTCTTTGGAAGATTTTAATTCTCCCCCTTATTTTGTCCTAGGAGTTTTAATAGATTTGTTTGATGGTATTTTCTTGATTTACCTTCTTCTTCCACTTATCCCACTGAGAGTCAATTCCAAAATTTTTTCTCACAGTCCCTACCATGTGCAAGTATGAAATCTGAGATTTGAGCTATAATCTCCTTTAAGATAAGATTGTCTTTATGACTCTCTTTCTTCTGAAGCAAGTGAATTGTAGATACAGATTAACCAGCAAATGAGCTGTTCAAATAGTCTAACCAGACATTTCCATCCACAGAGAATATGTTTTCTTCCTTATTTAGTGTTTTACCAAACAGAGGGTTAGTAGGTATCATGCAGGTTCTCAGGAGGACTCCTTTTGCATTTAATCCCGTCATAACTAAAATGCATACTTGCATACCAGAGAGCCCCATTTTCCCAGTCATTGTTGAGATGCTTGAGGTTTTCAAATTTTCATTCTATATATTATTTTTATATGACATTAATGCTATCAATGTGTCCAAAACCAAAGGCAAGTTTGAGCTGTTTTCTAGCAAAAGTAGAAATTCTTCACCGATCTTTCTCACTTTTAAAATATATCCCATATACAAAAAAGAACAGTAGACTATGACATGGCCCTGTGCCCACAGAATTTCAATCTCTGGCAATTATACCATTGCCCACCTAGACAATGACCAATCCAATGAACCTAGCCTTCTTGGATTCAAATCACTAAATAGAAAAGCAAACACCAAAGATCTCTGTTTATGTCCAAGAGAGCTATTTCTACAAGCTATTTCTATTCATGGCATTGAGGGAGAAACAACCCAGCACCATCTCAACCTCAAATCTTCTGCCTTTCAAAACTTCTCATCTGGAAGATCAAGAATCAGTGGAAAGTTCTCTCTAAACTGTTATTCATCTCCATATTTTCTGGATAGGAGGAATTTGAATGGTTCCCTAATTTCTGGTTTTCTATGAAGACCAAAAACACCCAATGGATAACCCACAAGACTCTCTTCCTCTTAGACAAGTTTTGGTATTCAGAGTTAAGCTATGAAATATTGCAATATACAAGAAACACACACAAAGCTCTTTATCATTACTGACCAAATAGGCCTCTTTCTTCCTAGGACCGAAAGAAGTCCCACCCACCTAAGATTGGCGAGCAACCTATTTCTCTTGGAATTAATATATTAGAGGAGAAAAGAGAAATCCTCCAAATAGGAAAAAGAAAGCCATTTATAGAATTATGAAAAGATATTATCCAAGAAACTGTGGCTGATATGGTATATATATTATATATATGACATTATACTAGTGCATGGAATGGGCAATAGCCAGAGACTGAGTACATGTGACCTAACAGATGACAAATAGACACATGAGCATGCCTGATGGCAATGGCTCACCCACCTTGGGGAGGGGCAGCTCCAGTCCAGGGCAGTCCTAGGATATCCTGTTCAGTTTAACATCCTCAACTGATCTTGAAGTTTAGTCTCAGAAGGAGAGGTGGATCAGCACCCTTAGAACTTGAAAACACTGCCCCTCTCAACTCACACCATACCCACCACCATCAGAGATCTGACTTCAGATCAGCCCCAGAGAATGTCTTCCCCCAAGTGGAGGTGACCCCTGATTCTACTGAGCATCCTGGTACCATGGAAACCATGGCACATCCCACATTCCTAAAACTAAACTCAAAACATTCTCCTCCATACAGACCAGTCCAAAATCCGAGTTTCTAATCCAGTTGCATTACTTCCTCATGTAACTTCTAGTTTTAAGCATAAAAGAAAAGAAAGACCAGGGAAGTTTAAGCTCTTCTACTGAGTTTTCTCTGAAAACTGGAAGCAATCAAAGGAATCAGAATTTTATACAAAAAAAAAAAAAAAAAAAAAAACCTGCTGGCATTTGCAGAAACTCATGGGAAGCCAAAGCTCAGAGGACAAGAGGGATTCAGTGCTTAAGATCTCTTGGGAAAAGCAGAAAATATCACCCAACAAGATTTCACCACATGCTGGTAAGCTTGTATAAACTTGGTGGTGAAGTAAACCAAATAATTAATGGCTATGTAACCACCACTCAATCATTTACATGGCCCAAGACCCAAAAGTACAGGCATCTGGTAGAGTATTTTACACAGTGGTCTTCATACCACTTCCAAACTTAGTATATGTTTAAATCTTTGGAATCAAAGTATATTCTTGATCATTCTACCTGGGCAAGCAAACATAATTCTATGGACTCCCAGACCTCTGAAAACAATGCTGAATTGTTTTTAAGAATTTGTTATCCTGGTTCATGTCAGTCTTTTGATATTTAAATATTTTAAAATATTTATTCTCATGGACAATGTGATCCCCTTTGCAGGCTGAGATATTAAGATTTTAACTTTTGTCATTTTTACTAGGATGTCTCAAAAGTTTTCTTTCTCCATAAATATTAAATTTAAGAGACAGTAAACAATGATAAAAAAAAAAACAAATCTAATCTGAGAAATAGAGCTAACATTCTCTATAGCCAAAACCAATCTTTGTATATAATCCAATCTGGCAGATTGCCAATCCTTTGAGTTCAAGATAAAGGACCCATAATTAGCTGCTTCAAATCTCTCACTGTCCACATAGTAACCAGAATGGACTTGAATATTCTTGTCTGATGGTGCAAGGTCTAGGTTATACACAGATAGAGCAAAAATTCACCTCCATCCAATTTCTCAGTTTTTTTCCTAGACCAACTTCTCAGTGCACAGGAGCATGTTTGTGGTGTAGGGACACAGGCTTTTAGTTGGCCAGGCTGGGTAATGATGTTTCAGTGCTCCATGAATTAGGTATCATGCCACATTTACTGCCCAACCTCAGGAGTAAGGTCAAAGTTCCACCAAACACATATCATCACACTGTGCTCAGAATGATCTTGTTCATCTTCAGGAGGGATCCTCAACACTGCCAATCACTTCCTCACCTACACAGACTGATTTGGCTACCACATTCATACTCAAGCCTTTTTTCTAGAAATAAAACACATATTTTCAAATTGCAATTTTATTATCACATATTCCAAGTATTCTAGGAAGACTAAATTAAAGAAAAATTTGTAAATCACATGTAATCATACATGTCTTCAAATGCTTCAGATTGGCACTAAACATAAACCATTCAACTTTCATATTGCAAATATTCAACTTTCATATTGCAACTCTCTGGTTATCATTCAGACTATTCACCAATATATGGTTCCCAACACATGGTAGGATTAAACTTCTGATCCTCCTGTTGAACCCAGCACAGACATATCACTGGCTTTAGTCAATAGACATGAACAAAAGAATAATGTCCAGGAAGATTTAAGAATCAATGCCTCTACCATACTCATTTCTTCTTCTGCCTCACTGATCATCAACATTCTCAGCATGACTACTTTACCAGCCTAGATCCCTGAATAAAGATGACAGTGATACAGAACAAAAATACAAGGTGAGCAAAGAAATACATGTTATTTTAAACCACTGAGGTGTGGGGATTGTCTGTTATTGCAATATAACCTAGCTAACATACCATAACCTAACTGAAACACCATTCCTTTTTAGGAAAGAAATGTTGGGACACTACACATTATGGAAAATGCTACTCTGATCTAAAACAGAAGAAATTTGGTACTATATTAGATGATGGTATATGTATGATACGTGGGTATAAATATTATAGATAACCACTTATAAAAACAGACTTTTCCCACCTTGCCCCCACCCAGAAAAACTTTTTTATTTAATTTTCAAAGCAATTAAATAATGTGAATCCTTCAAAATCTCAGAGAAATCCATTTGTCAAATCATTTGCAGAGTACCACTTCTTTTCCAAGACCAAGTACATTAATCAAATGCAGAACTTCAAAGGGGCTTCATTTTGAGAGACCCAACCGACAAATAAATTAGCTGCCAATGACTCCTTTGTAATTGAAGAGGGCCAGCCTGATCCAAGGGGAGAGGACTAAATCAAACACGGGATCCTCCAAGCAAAAACAGCACTGGGGACCCAAATCAAAAAGCCATCCTTCACCCTCTTGTTTCCAAAGGGTGTTAAATAGGAGCCAAGCGCATGTGTGTTTATTTACTAATAAGAAAATGCAAACATCCCACCTCTAATTGATTTCTTATGTGCTACAATCATAAAAAATGTTAGTGTCTGGAATACATATCTGAGCATTGCCCTCCAATGTGGCAGCTTGTAAACCTGATCACATGTACTATAGGTACCTATGACCTATAATAAAATTTTGCTTTTGAAACTATGTAACTCTGGAAAACTGTCTTCTTTATTGCAAAAAGAAATCTCTTGAGGGTTCTCATTTTAAGAAAGTAAAAGAAACAACTGTCCGTTTTTAATTTGCAGAGATTTTCACTGGTGATTCAGTGAGGGATGATGTCATATGTTATCCTTCAGTTGCTGGTGTGGTTCTCTCTGCTTACTCAAACCGTTCCCCCTGTTTCTGTGGCAGACAGTACTCCGGGTTTCCATCCTGTCGTCGGCTTCTTCCCAGCCAGCCACAAGCAAACAGCCTGACTAGCAGCGGGCAGAACAGGAAGTCTGACCGCTCGAGTCTGCAATGGGACCCCTAGTGTTTTCCCACTCCATGTCCTGGCATCCTTCCCCAGAAGTACAAACACACACACACACAGAGCTCCCATTGTTGCAGCCCTCCCCAGCCCACTGATCCTAATATGGAATGCAGCAGGAAACCCATGATTTCCTGATACTCGGCAAGCTGGAGGAAGCAGGGGGAAATCTCCATTTAAAAGCGCAGCTTTCCTCCATGTTAGATGTGAGGTGGAAAATGGGAAAGATTTAGCAAAATTCCTCCGTGCCTTCAGCCAGGCTGGAGAGGGCGAGAGCAGAGTGAAACCCTCAGGCTGCTGAAATTTCTGAGGTGTGGGGAAGCCTCTAGAATTCTACGGGAAGGAGCGTTTCCTAAGTGGAACTGATAGGGAAGAGGAATAGACCCTTTTAATAATTCCCCCAAGTGTGGGCTCCCTTACTTTACTAGAATGGTAAGCAACAGGGCATCCGCGCGCCTCGGACATGCCTGCATGATCCAAGGTAGCCAAAGTAAGGCAGGGTAACTCCAGCCTGGCGCTCACTTCCCACCGCTTCATGTGCTTTGGAAGCAGCAGCAGCAGCAGCAGCAGCTGGAGCCGCAAGAATGAACTGCAAAGAGGGAAATGACAGCAGCTGCAGTTGCAGTGGCAACGAGGAGAAAAAGATGCTGAAGTGTGTGGTGGTTGGGGACGGTGCCGTGGGGAAAACCTGCCTGCTGATGAGCTATGCCAATGATGCCTTCCCGGAGGAGTACGTGCCCACTGTGTTTGACCACTATGCAGGTAAGAAAAAGTGGGACTCATGCATCCAGATGCACAGCGTGGGAGGCCAGACCCCAAGTTCAGAGGGACCTGGCTGAGTTCGGTGTCAGTATTAGGCACAGGCCTGGCAGGCACTGTGGAGATCACTAAAAAATACAATCAAAGACTTTGCCAGAATTGTGGGGAGAAGGATTTGTGCATCAATTTGTATTGTAACACCACCCCCAATCAAGGCAAATGAATAACCCTTGGTAAAATACTTTGAACTGCCCTCTAGACTTTGGGGCCAGAGATTTAGTCATTTGCTTGAAGATTCATCAACTTTTTATTGTGAACATTTTAAGATATAGTGTAATTGCATCACAATTTTTCCTATCCAAAAAAAAACACCACTAAACACACAACTGATGAAAGAAATGTCTTGCTATGTTTCCTCTATTCATCTCATGCTGTTTAGAAATGAAAATGATAAGATTAATAAATAAAACACTCAACTTTTCTATAGTACTTGGTACCAAAATACTGTACTTTCATTTTCTTGGGATTTTAGATGGAGAGAAAAAGTTTTTGAAGTTTTGAAATATTAATTAGGTAATCTGTATCTCAGATTAAAAGAAACATTTCTAATTGATACATTTTAAAAAATAAAAGTACACATAAAATTTGAATCTCTTAAAGCATGTCCTGAAAGGACAAAATTGAGCATAAGTTCTTTTAAGGCATGACAGTTAAGATACCGTAGTGACGACTTCTTTCAGTGGACTTTCAGCTTTTGTTATTCTAAAGTTAATAGGTGTTACTTGTCAGTGTGATAGCATGATCTGAATTTTCCAATTTTGATTCTGACTTGTTCCCTTAATTTTCAAAACAAATATTATAAAGTTTCTTACATGCAAATTTGTGAGATACTTCAAATGTATAGTTGCGTTAGTTTTTGAACAGTGTTCGGAATGGTGACTCGTCAGAGATTTGAGATTTCATAAGAGGAAAATTTTTCTTTTCTTTGCCTTGGCTTTGGATCAGTTTCAGCAAAGAGGAAATGGCCCACAGGAAGCCAGTTTGAGTGTTTGCTTGGCTCTGTGGCCATTCAAAATCCTCCTTCTGTAGGAAGCAGCTTCCCTTCCAGAGCTAGATGGTCACCTAAGTCTTCCCTTCCTCAGGCACATATATAACTTGCAAAAATATTACCCCATAGCAGCAGTGAGTACAGGATCCATTTCCCAGCAACTTTTCTACACTTGTTGAAACTATGAGAAAATTTTAATGCTGGGTCCCTTAAGCTTTGCTGAAAATATAATAACTATGCCCAGAAAAGAGCACTTTAATAAGAGCAGAATAAAGAGAAGAGCAGATAAACTTTTATCTTGAGGGAGAAAAAAGACTAATTATAAAATTTGTGGCTCTATGCCTTCAGAAAGTTACTCAGAAACTGTTCTTGAAAACATCCTAGCAAAAGTTATTTATGCTATATCTTCTTTCTACCATGAAGTGAAAAGTGGCTAGCACCTTATTTCAGAAACCTTTAGATCAAAGGTAGAACTCAAAATCTTCTAGAAGGAGAGACTTCAAATGCTTAGAAAAATTATGTATCCAAATCCTCATCTCTTGGGTGAACCAATTACAGTGGTGTCAGGAAGAAGATAAAACCATCGTTAGAAATAAAGTCGGCCTATTAAAAGACACATTAGAGATCAAACCAAGGCTGAACTATGTCTAGATTCTGCTAGGATCCAATTATTTTCTATTTCAATTATGTACACACTTATTGGGGTTTGAGCATCAAAACATCTCAGACTTTGGCCATTGTATTATTTGAGCACCCAGAAAACCACAACTACTGTACCCAGAGCAATCCTTTGCATTGCAGGCATTCCTAACCACGATGGCTTTGCCTTACACTTTGTACTTCTTTAAATATGAAATCCTCTCCTGCACTTTTGGTAAGGTTAAAAAGGAAATAAAGGTGTGTGCCCCATGCATCTGGGATCATAATGAACTTATCACCTCTATTAGCAGAGGACACTCTCTATCACAAACATTCTAGCTGCTTTTGCCACCACCCTCCTCACACATGCTCTGGTTGAACATAAATCCATACACAGTCACAGGACAATCTACAATCAATTGTCAAAGATTTAAAAGCACTCTTCTCCATTTAGATCCAATGTCCAGTTCATGGGTTCTTCTGACCCACTCTGAAATGACAACCTGTAATCGGGCTTCTGAGTCCTTAAAAAAAGATGGCAATTGAAATCAAAGATCGGCCTATCCCTTAAAGACTTTTCCCTAATAACTAACGGCTCATCCCAGGAACACAGAAATATAACAGTAAGGATAAAAGTACAACATACTATTCTGGATACAATATGATAATGAACTCCAAAGTCAGATGACCAGTTCTAATACTGGCTCTGTCACTACTTATTCTGTGGGCTTTGAGCAAGTTACTTAACCTTTCTGTACTTCAGCTGTGACAGAGTAAAAACAGGGACAATAAAGGTATTTAAATTATTTGTGAAAACAAAATGAACTATAGCATGTGAAGTTCTTGGAACCTCATATGTGAAAAGCAATAGTTTTTTCAGCAGTTATTATTAAGAATAAGTTATGTACACTTTTGTATCCCCCTATGAAAGTGAATTAAAATGTAACTAAAAGTAAAGGCTCTGTCAGGGGAAGATGTAATATCAAGAATATCCTATAGAAGAGTAGAATATGGTGGAGTGCATTATTGTCCTTACAAAACAATTACTATGTGTGCTGATAGGTGGTAGCTGTGCATCGAGTTGTAGCAATGGAATATTAACTTGGGGGGGATGGAAATACCAATTTTACATAAGTGATGGAGAAAAATCAACAAACAACTAGAAAAATAATTTTTTAAGTTCTATGAATCCTTGGTTTGAATCCCTTCTTTCTAAATTCGAGAATCCAAAAATACATCTCCTCCATGTAGCATTCTTTGACTCTCTAGGGACATTCCCTGCTCCGTCTTCAGTCCATCTCCGGAAGTGTGTTCACATCTCTAGGGCACGACACCATTGTATCCCAATTTATGTGTTTCCTTAATTTCCCATCCCCCACTTGCTGTGAGCCCCTTGAAGGAAGGGACCATGCCTCGCCAAATCCAGTCGTCGTCATGGTCTCTTGGAAGCCATTTGTGTGGTTTATTACTCTCCTTCTTAAAACACTTTCTGCCCTTTGTTTCTGAGACACCACATTCTGCTGGTGTTTAGCCCACTTACCAGCAACCTGTCTCCATCTGCTCTGCCTCCACCTCCCTCTCTTCCCAACCACTAAATATTAGCATACCTCAGTATTCAGTCCCTTGGTCCTCCTATCTACTGAGGCTCATGCCTGGTTGATGGTATCTAGTAGATGACTTCAAAATTCATTTACATACTAATAACTCCCAAACTGATATCTGTACCCCCAGAACTGGGAACACTCAGATACCCAACTGACCATGTGAATATCTAATGGGCATCTGTCAAACAGAAGCTTTCACTGCCTCCAACTCACTCTTTCCTACTCTTTGCCTTACAAGAATATGACCATTACCTTCTATGCAGTGACTGAGAACAAGTATTATCCTCTTTCTTTCTTCCTGTGAAACACCCTCATATCTCTCCATTCAAATCATCAATTATTATGCCCTGCTCCTACCACTGAATTCAACATCTCAAACCTGATCACCAGCCACCACCACATCCTCTCTCATCCATACTACAATAATCACCTCCAAGTTCCCTCTTACAATCATGCTCCCCCTAGAGTCAATTCTCCACCCAGCTGGCAGAGGGACTATCCAGAGCCTCAGCTCCCTCCAGGGATTCCCTCAGTACTCAGACTCCATCTTTTGTCAGATGTGCAAGGCACCCCATGACTCTGTCCCTGATTTCTCTCCCACCTAATCTCTGAACACTCTCCCCACACTAGCCATCTCTCTATTCCTCAAACATGCCAAACACCTTCTTTCCTTGAAGACTTTATACTTGCTCTCACCTTGCCCTGACACTCCCCTAGAGCTTCCTTAGCTTCAGTTATTTAATACATGTGCCTCACTTGACCTTCTATTTGACCTCACACTCACTTTGACCTTCTATTTTGCTGCATCTTTCTTCATGATATTTAATACAAAGACATTATATATTTATTTGCTATCCCCAGCTTCTAAAAAAGTGCCATCTGACAAATAGTAGACTCTCAATAAATAGTCATTGAATAAATTAATTAGTATGTCTTAATTTTCTTGGTCCCTTCAGCATTTAGATAGTTCGTGGTCCATATGGACTTTGAGGAAAAATGAACGAATTGTAGTCCAACAGTTATCTCTTTAGAAATAAACTTATAAAAACATTTATTAAGTGATTCTATTTTTTGAACTATTTTGATCATATTTTGGATGATCATTTTATCTATACTGTAATTGTAAAATGGTATTAATTGCCTTGACAGATCTGACACTTGACAGATCTGTCAAGAGTGAAACTCCACAATGTGTAAATGTCACTTGTATTCCTCCATTTGCATTACTTTGGATAGCTTAAACTTTGGATAGACCACTCAAACTCTTGTAGTTCTATAGAGAGCACATTTCAGAGTCACCCCAAATTTGACTGAGAGCTAGGACTACAAAATAGCTAGATGCAATGGGTCACTCACATTTGTTACACGTGTATCTAAAAAACATCTCTGGGCCCCGCTTCCTACTTGCTCTCAGGAGGATGCAAGATGTCTTCACAACTTTAAGCCTTCAGTTTACCATGGGCAATCACATTTCTCCTCCCATCCTATCCTGATCAATAGCTTTGAATTTCATCGTGGAGCTTTTCCTGACAAAATTTCTCTATCTATTAATGTGTCATGTAACGTATGACATAAGACTTGCATTTTTTGTTTAGCGGGATTGTATGTTTAATAAGTGAGGTTGAGCACATGGCTTTTATGTTTAAGCATATAGGTGTGTAAATAAGCCAAATCCAGCTGAAAACCATTTATTGATATAGTTGGACTTAACC